ATACAAATTTAGACGGCATTACTCTTCCTTCAAGGAAATGTTAATGCTTCCCTGACATGATCCCATTAATACTTACAGCAACTCTGTTCCTACTTCAAGTTCACCCTGGGAACGACTGTTAAGAATGTCTGGAAAATAAATTCCTCAACGCTCAGCTAACTATTATATCCACAAACCATATTGTGATTTTCAGTGTTCACTGTAAATTCAGACCATTACCAATATTCTTGTTATGTACCTACAAACAGGTTTCAGCGGTTGAAGTTACCATAGTCAATTAAAACAGTTGATGGGTGTAGGGAACCCTGCATTGTTCACACTGATTTCATGTTTGTTCACTTTGAATTCAGTCATCCCAAGGCTTTGGTGGAAGTGTCTCTAATACTGACCAACAAATTCATGTACCACTCTGTGCTTTCAGTAAATAGAAAGCTCTTGCAAGTGTTATGCACATGGCGCCTCAACAATGCATAGAATACATCTAAGAGAAAAGATAGCTCTTGTTAAATCTCCATTTTTCTTTGAAGGCAGAAATAACGACAGATCCCATTGTTTGGTTCACTTCCTAAAAGCCTGCAAGAGCTATAGCTTGGCCAGGCCTAAATCAAGAGCCAGGACCTCATTCTGTGTCTCCCATAAGTGACAGGGACTCAACTACTTGAGTCATCAGGGTGCACATCAGCAGGAATCTGGAGTTACAAACAGATCCAGGACTGAACCTAGGTGCCCTCAAAGAGGATGCGGGGGTCCCAAGTGGCAACTTTATGGCTGGGCTAAATTCTGTCCCCAGTTTAACTCTTAACTGTAAAATTGTTTTTCATGTGGTAAAAGGCAGGGGTGGGGGAGAAGCCTTTCAAATCAAACATTTGGAACTGAGATGAAAGAGCAAATGTTAACTATGAAATGGTTAAAACCTTTATTGGACATGCATATGCACATGAAGGGCGGTTTGAAAGAGACCCAATACATTTTTATAATGTTTTGAGAAGCTGTACATTACAAAAGATCTATTCTAACTAACTTCATGGACAAACAAATAAAAACATATCAGAGGAACTTAAATCCATTTTGCATTATTTGTAAGAAATAAGTAAGCAAGAGTAGTCTAATTTTAGTAAATATTTATAGTGCAAAAAATTCCAAAGTATATATAACAATCAAATTTCTAGTGAAATTGTGTGTAAGTAGGTTTATTTTGAAAGGAAAAGTCCCACTCCCAGTGTCATAACCAATTAAATTCTCCAGGTAATGACCCCATTTGCATAGTGAGCGGAACCCACAAGTGGGAATTTTAATGGGTACACCACCTGAGTACAGTAATTGAGAGTGACACAACTTGAACTAGTTTTGTGCTTACCCCACTGAAAATTCTACTCATATTATTTTTAATGCCAAGCTACAAGTCAAATTTCAAGATGATGGATTTGTTCTTTTTTAAGCACTGAGTTTGAATAAAAGAAATGCTTTAATTCAGTTATGCATTGCATATCTTTGCTTTAACTAATCTGCAGTTCTGATTCTCACCATTGCTTCATTTTCTTCAGTGATTGGAATTTAATTTTATTCATTAATTTGCGAATAATTAGATAAAAAATAATGTCCTCAGCAGCTAAATTGCTTTTGGATTGTGATTTAATGTACTTTTACAAGAATATGTATTATAGTTAAGCTGGCATAATAGTTTACTAAAATGTAATTGTGTAAATATGCCCAATTATTCTGATGATCTAACAAAATCTAATATAACATGTATTCACGATACTTTACTCATCCTTTACCCTGAAACCAACAAAATGCAGTTTCTGTGAGCTGATCAGAGACACCTTGTCATCTGAGAGTGTTACTTTTAACAGCTACTCTCCTTATCTCTCAGGCACTATTCATGTCCTTGAAAGAATTGTACATTTTGATTGAGGGATCATATGAGGTCCACATTAAATTACATAATAAAGGTGACTTTGAGACTCTAAGAGTCAGACACACACGATGAACTGTGCTTTCGAGGTTTTAAGGTGACATTTTTAAACTTCTTTTGTTTCACTCTAAGATTGCTTGTGATACTGTTTGTAGGTGTTTGACACCACTCTGCCACATCTGTAATTGGCATAGCATCCAGCAGACAGGCTCTGTACATCTTTACACTGCAACCTACCAAGTTAAGAAATGTATTGGTTCAATATAAAACAGCAGGCTGTTTTTAGACATAGTTACTAGTGCACAAGCTTTAATATGGCTTGGCTTCATCCTATAATGAGATCTTTTGGTTCCCTGCTCAACAGGCTTTTATTCCTTTGCAAAAGGCTATGAACTATGTCAAGTGGATCAGCTGCTTTTGTACACCCTCTTTCTTGGCTTTGGAATGTAATTCCTTTGCTTCTACCCCTTTATGCATCAGACAGAACTTAAGAACCTTTTCAATTTTTCAAGCTCAACTTAGAACGAATTTGTTTGAATTTGATTTTTACCATTTTTCTAGTAATTACATTCTCAACCAAACCTTGCAAAACTCCCGCCTGAAGAGCTATACTTTGTCTTTAACACATACATCTGTACCTCATATTGATAGTCTGTCAAATGACGGTTTTCTGAGATGATTATAACAGTCACCCCTCAATTAAGTACACGATTCTCTTTCAATGAGCACTAAATGGGATGAGGTGACAGAGCAAGTGTACAAATAATGAACAAATACTGCAATTAAAACTACCAGTCAAGGGGCCAGCGCCGTGGCTCACTTGGTTAATCCTCTGCCTGCAGCATCCCATATGGGCACTGGGGTTCTAGTCCCAGTTGCTCCTCTTCCAGTCCAGCTCTCTGCTGTGGCCAGGGAAGGCAGTGGAGGATGGCCCAAGTGCTTGGGCCCCTGCACCCGCATGGGAGACCTGTGAGGAAGCACCTGGCTCCTGGCTTCGGATCGGCACGGCGCCGTCCATAGCAGCCATTTGGGGAGTGAACCAACGGGAGGAAGACCTTTCTCTCTGTCTTCTCTCTCTCCCACTGTCTATAACTCTACCTGTCAAAAAAACAAACAAACAAACAAACAAAAACCTACCAGTCATTATTCAATTGGAAGGCTTAGGCACTATAGTTATGGCCTCGATGAAAAATGTCATAATGTCCCAGTTGGATGAAATGTGATGATGCAGATTTCTTTTGCACAAACTTTGTTTCCTAGTCAGTGGCTTTGTATATGATCCTTGTCCCAGATTGCCTATTGTCTTCAGGGCAATTTGATTATACATGCATGATGTTTTGGGTCATAGTCTTTTAAAGAGAGAAGTATTGTTCATGGCAAATTTTACAAGGTGAACATCCATCACAGTTAGGACTTAACTTGGGATGCCCATATCTCATATTAGGGTTACTGGTTCAAATCCCAGCTCTACTCTTCATCCCAGCTTTCTACTAACATGGACCCTGGGAAGCAGCAGGTGATGGCTCATGTAGATGGATCCCTGCCTCCCATGTGGGAGACCTGGACTGAGTTCCTACTTTGGCCTGGCCTAGACTCAAATGCTGTTGAAATCATTTAGGGAGAAAACCAACAGATGGGAGATCATTCTCTCCCCAAAATGAAATAATTAAAAAATTCATTATGAATTTATTAATGAGTGAAAAGGTGAAAAGGTCTGTAAAACTCAAGCTTCATATTAAGGCCAGACTAGTATGTTATCCCTCTCCATGACCCCTTCCAAATCCTCTAAAAGTCCTCTTAAACAGGAAGTAAGTATTAGTAACCATACAATTAGAACTATTGGATTTTAATTGGTGGTGCCAGAGTTGAAGCTTCCTTAGGATTAAATGGCTTTCTGGAGGTTCCCAGTACCAATCCAAGCAGAAAAAAGCATTCACTTTACACTTTTTGGTTATAGGGGCACACGGAGGTAAAGGATTGAAAGGAATCCCTTGTGATACCCAATTGCTGATCAAAAGTATAAATAATGAGTGCCAAATAAACCCTATCAATATAGTAACTATTACTTGATACAAAAAAGATAGGCCCTACTGCATCAGTGTAAAAGGAAAAGAAAAGCTGGTACTATAGTAGTTGACAAAATTTTATTTTGCCTGTCAGATTAGATACAGCAATCCTTCAGGCCAACAAATCATAAGTAATTGGAAAGGGCACAAAGGTCTTGAATAATTTGAATAATAATCTTATTAATAATCAAATATATTTGTTAGGCACTTGGGTAAACCTAAGACTTTAACTAGCATTCAAAAGGAGGCCACAGTGTTTTTGGGCTCAAGTGTTATTTATGCTAGGCAATGACGTTTGACATTTATAACATCAGAATCTAGGGCCCTGATAGAGTTTGTCTGGATAAAGGATGTAAAGTTATTATATAAGGTTGCCTTGGTTACTCCTTTAACTGCTCAGATAACACTGAGTATTCAGGTGAGGAGAATGGTTAACAGTTGATACAGTGTCAAGAACACAAAAAATGAAATTATTATTTTTCTAAGTAAAAGGCCACACTGTATTGCTGAAGTTATATGGTACTGTTTTAGTTAAATACTTACCATGAAACTTTTCCAAAAATTATTTCATTGAAAATTCTAGATGGAAATACTTCCTATGATTTACTTTAGTGTGAAATTCATTGAACCCAATTTTGTAGATATTTGAACATTTTAACTCAGTGTTCCATTTTAGCATACATAAAAATTTACCTCAGTTTTTATAAGTTGAAATATTATTTCAAAGTAAACAAATTAAATCAATTGACAAAAAAGGGTGAAAACTGGTATGTTGATATACTGTAAATTTTTTTAAATTATGCTTTCATATACTTTAATTATGCTTTGTACCATAGTGACTGATATATTTCATAGTTCATTTATGGACATGAGTCATATGATTTACACAAGGAAACCATGAAATCTTCAGAAAAAGATATCATAGGATAAAAAAAAACCCTCAGATTGTAAACTACAATCAAATCCCTTCAAATGTAAGTCAATATATCAATTCGATATGAAAGTAGGCAAGAGCACAATAAAGAAGTCATTTGTTTTATTTCAAAATAGTGTATTAGGATAACACAGGTCCAGTTTAAAAATATTTAAGTTCCCACATTTAAAAAGAGATCAAATCTATTAACTGTAAATTATAGCACTTAGTCATGATTTCCATATAAGTCAACAAACCATTTTACTTATAGAAATTCTAAAATATATGGAAACTATATTCACATTTGCCTACTTTTCTTTTTTCTTTAAACTCTACAAAATGATTTATGGAATGACTGCCTGGCATAGACAACAGAGGAAAAATACAATATAAATATGAAAATAAAATTCTGATATCCATTTATGTTCTCTGCTACAGAGAAACGTTATTTCAAATGTGTTAATATTTTCATCACAAATAGTAACAGGATACATTTAAATATCAACCGCTTGGTTGAAAATTTTTGCAGGATAAAAGCTCAAATCTTTAACAATTCCAGATCATTAGGAGACTTTATATGTCTATAAACAGATGATATTCTTACACCCTGATGCATAAGCAAGAGTTGACCTCTGGCATATGTAAATATTCAGATTCTGGTATCTGTGAAATGGGACAAAGGATTCCTTATATTTGATGTACAAATGCAAGGTGCATATGAGGGGAGGAAAAGGAAGACAGCTGTTTATGAGAATTCTATTTAAACTCAACAATTTAAAGGTATACATATGTGTATGTGTGCATGTGTGTCTGTGTGTAAATAGCATGCAAAGGAGGATTCAAGAATTTGCTAACTTTTTTTTCTTTTTGAACCTTTATAGTAATTATATTCACATAACTAGAAACTAGGTTTTATTTCAAAGAAAAGAACCATATTTGACATTCCCATACTTCAGTTTAAAAAACTCTCATAAAATGGATAGTTTTGTTAAAGATTTCTGAAAAATATAATTTTGCTGTTATTAACAATTTGATTTTGGACAGAGGAGCCGAAAATAACCATTAATCGTAAAGGACATTTGTAAAACTTCTCCAAGGAATTACATGAAGTCGAACTGAAGTACAATTTTGGAGTGACTGAACTCAGAAGGAGAGCAAAGAGTATGGAAACTTACTCCCCTTTTCATCTGACCTACACAGTTTCATGTCTCAGTAACTCATAATTAGTCTTGTAATTGACTTTTTAAAAATACTTAAGGATCTTCATAACATGACATATTGGCTTAATCTAACATAAAAGTGCAATCCTGAAATTTGGTCATAGTAGATATCTAGATTCCCAATGCACTGGAAGGAATGGTTTGTATTCATAAAATACAACACTGGCTAAGAAAAACAATCAAGACAAACAACAACCTCTCTCCAACAGACTGAAAGCTCTTCAAATAATAGGAAACATTTTAGGAAAACAAAATTGTAAGACTGAGATTTTAATATAAAATACCTCCTAATTTAAATTTGGCAGAAGTACTCTATTCCTTAAAAAATAAAGATATCTTAATTAGGTATTATCTTTTCATCCAAAATCTTATAATAACATTTCAATCTTGTGTAAGAAAATGAATAACTTGAGACAATTTAAATTTTAATAGTTTTAAAAAAGGATGTTTTCGTGCAACTAAAAAAAAAATGTATGCTGAAGGCATTTTTCTTTTAAATGGATGAGGGCACACACAGTTCAAGCTGTCCACCTAACACTTTGCCCTAAATCTAAAGAACTCATTCAAGAAGCAGATGACTCACACATTTTTTTTTGCAAGAAGTCTCTTCAAATGCCACATCTCCCCTAAAGCCTTCCTGAATATCCTGGCAGCTCTTCTCTGGGTATTCCTAGCGCCCTCGGAGTTCCCTCTCATCACCCTCACTTCAGTGTGCCTTGTGCTGTGGTTCATTCTTTAGGGCGCCTTTCCTCTGCTGAACTGCACACCCCTGTGGACAGCAGAGAAACGACAGCCATTTCTGCAGTGTGTGAGGGAAGCACACACAGTAGGCCTTCGGGTCTGTGGGACAGGTGGGGAAGACAGAGAAGAGAGCCCGGAGAGCAACACTGGGTGCCCAAGTATTGTGTGGGTTTGTTTTTCAAAGTTACTTTAAAACAAAGGATGCTTACTTTTAACCACTACTAGTTAAACATCAAAAATAAACTGTCCAGCTTAAATACCCACTGAGAAATAATATACAGGGAGCAAAGAAGTAGTTAAAAGAAGTAGTTAGGAACTTTCACATATTAAACCACATAGATTTGGTGAGAGAACAGGCTTTCAGAGACTACTTAAAATAATGAGTTAACAGTGCAAATACTGGGTTGCTGCATGAAAGTCTTACCATGTGTCTCTCTTCCCCCTTACAAGAAAGTTTAAAATGTTCTCCAGTTTTAACACAAACAAAAGATAAATATTTACGAAGGAAAACAAATTCCACAGCATTCCATACAGATTTCCAAACAGTCTGATGATTCACAACAGGCATCCATGATGCCACAATCCATGTCGCAAGGGCAGTTACAGTCATCCCCCATTTCGTCCCCACAGCAGCAGCAGCAGGCTTCCGAGGTGCAGATGCCACACGAGGCTTGTCCAAGGACAATATTGCAGAGGGTCAGGAATTCACAGAACAAGCACGCCAGGATACAGTGGACACAACAATCTTTGTTTTCAGTCGTGAGGACACCACATAGTGAGAAAAAAAAGGAACACAAAATATACGGCATCAGCAGACTGAATAAGAACTTATCAAGTAAACAACACACAGCCCCCAGGACATTCATCCCTAAAAGATTTTTGTGGGCTGAATGCTCAAAAAATTATAGATGAGAGATCTTCAGAAGGAAATACTACATTCAAAAAATATTATAGGTGTGTGTACTTGTCCACGTGTCTTAAGATTATCATTCTAATAACACCATTCATTGTGCGGTCCATCCACGTCTGATTTTTTTTAACCAGCCTCCTCTATATGCTATTCCTCTTTATCACACTAGGATAAAACAATCCCATAATGTTTTTAACACCTTTGAGAAACAGAAATTTCCTTCAATTGCTCCACATACATGTTCCAAAGTTAAAAAGAATAAGGTATAAATAAGAAATGATTGGTATATTATTGAATACTTAATTCATTAAACTAGAATCCACATGTTTGACTCTCAAATTGACTTATTTTCATATTTTCAATTTTTTTTATTTCACAAGAATTTAAACAAAAGTAATGAGACACATTGTTTCTGGAAAAGTTCTTCTTATTTCCAACAAAGGAATGTGCACCTTAGCCAACAGGAATAAGAACAGAGTAACAGTGGTTTCCCACTTCCTTTGGTGGCAAAATACCTTATATCTCTGTTATTTCCTGAGACACAATTAATGATGCCTCTCTAAACAAACTTTATTAGCTGATAAAAAAAGAGGAATTAAGCAAATTATAATTTAATAAGCTTTGTGTACATATTCTGCAGTTCTTTCTTTTGGAATTCTTGAGCAAATAGGAGGAGAAATTAAAGGAAATTTATATTTCTGAAAGAATAAAAGCATTTAAGACCTCTGTTTATGAAATTTGTCCAGTATTAAAAATGTTTGTGCATTTTTACTGGAAGTATAGAGACCTTCAAAATGTTTATGGAAAATACGTATTAGCAGAAAACCATGCTTAGATTTCAAAAGTTTTTGCACCAAAATAAACTTCATTTAATTCCATTTTCTTTGAATATTTTTATCCCCATTTTTCTGGTTTACTTTACAGGATGGCTTTCCTTTTTGTGTATGTTGTATGATATATATTTTAATAAGGGATTTCATATCCTGCAACAGCAGCAACACATAACAACCCCACCCTCATTTTATTGTCACATGTTCTTTGCATTTCTATATTTGGCACTAAAATTGAAAGCCTTGGATGGAATTTCAACAAACTGAGAAAACCACAGATGAAGGGGAAATAATCAGCTTGCTTGGGAGACTGCTATAATAGACAAGAATACTCCTCTCTATATAAAACCATATAACTCTACATGTAGATATGAATTGACAGCATCCCAAAACAAGCAATCACCAAAGTATCTATCTGGGTGCTCTCTCAACTCTGCAGGCCTATCCCTAACCACCTGAGCATAAACTCCCAATTCACCCAACATCCCCTTTTCCCTGCCGTCTCTAACTCTGTAGAGAATTCAGTGGGTGAAAAGAAGCAGTGGGGAAATACAAAGTCATTCTCTACATGCCAGATGACAAAAAGGGGAGAGGGTCAAACAAGAACTCAAATGGGAAACTCCAGAGTTGTTTGTAGATTTAAAGCCTAAAAGAATAGATCAGTCTTTCATGCTTGTCAGTGCCAAGTCCATTCTTATATATGATCATCCATGGGGCAAATGGAAAAAGTTCATTTAGATGTTAAAGTCTCCAAGCCTCCTAATCTTCCCCTAATGTTTATTTTCTTGTAGCATCCAATAATTTCAGGACAAATCAATCTATGAGTATACAATGAACTTGAAAAGTTCTAGGTTTTTTTTTTTGATTTATTTATTTATTTGAAAGTCAGAGTTACACAGAAAGAGGAGAGGCAGAGAGAGAGAGACAGAGAGAGGTCTTCCATCTGATGGTTCACTCCCCAGATAGCCGCAACGGCTGGAGCTGTGCTGATCCAAAGCCAGGAGCCAGGAGCTTCTTCCAGGTCTCCCATGCGGTGCAGGAGCCAAGGACTTGGGCCATCTTCTACTGCTTTCCCAGACCACAGCAGAGAGCTGGTTGGAAAGAGGAGCAGCCAGGACTAGAACCAGCGCCCATACAGGATGCTGGTGCTTCAGGCCAGGGCTTTAACCCACTGAGCCACAGCGACAGCCCCTGTTCTGGGTTTCTACAGAGTGCCATGGTTCCCTTCTGTCTATGTTCTTTCTAGAAACTTTCATCCTAATATCTGTTTTATATATCTCTGTTTAGTTGGGCTCTTCCAGGATTAAACTATCATCATAATTTGTAAAATACTTGAAATGTTATAATCCATTTTATTATTATTAGGAAAACAGTGTTTAACTGGCAACAAGTCGCTTATTCACTGGACTATCAAACAAATCCTATGTTAACTAATTATAAAATAGTTCATCAAGAATTTCACTTTTTTTTTTTTTTTTTTGACAGGTAGAGTTATAGACAGAGACACAGAGAGAGAGACAGAGAGAAAGGTCTTCCTTCCGTTGTTTCACTCCCCATATGGCCGCTATGGCCAGAGCTGTGCCGATCCGAAGCCAGGAGCCAGGTGCTTCTTCCTGGTCTGCCATGCGGGTACAGGGGCCCAAGCACTTGGGTCATCCTCCACTGCCCTCCTGGGCCACAGCAGAGAGCTGGACTGGAAGAAGAGCAACCGGGACTAGAACCCGGCACCCATATGGGATGCTGGCGCTGTAGGTAGAGGATTAAACAAGTGAGCCCCGGTGCCAGCCCCAAGAATTTCACTTTCTATGATTGCACTGTGGCATGTCTTTAATTTCAAGACAGAGAAGGAATTTACAAAGGCCTACTGGACACTGGGTAACTTTTAACTGAATTTCTTAAAACCCTCAGAATGGCCACTGAGCATGTCAATTCTTCACATACAAACTATAGAAATACATTTTACATAGACGTATATATGAGAGAACTTCAAAAAGTTTGTGGAAAAAATTAAACGATAGGTTTATTTTTGGTAAAAAAAAGTTTTGAAACTCATGCATATCTTTTTTTCATAATATGCATTTTCCATGAACCTTTTGAAGACTCCTTGTATGCATAGATTTCAAAAATTTTTGCACCAAAATAACGTTTTAATTACATTTTCAACAAACTTTTTGAAGTACCCTTTATGTAATGGGTTTATCAATTTTAAAGGGAAAGCATGTTTGTCACACTCAGCCTTAGAAATGGAGAGCTCTAATTTTTTTTTAAGCTAGCTTTTCCAAGTATATATTCCTATCTCGAGAGATACTGTTTTGAATACTGAGTGAACTTTTCGCTTGTTTTTCATTGGATTCTATAGTAACGGTGTATGTCTAAATATCCCTACATCTAAAGAATGGAAACTGGACTGTGTGAATTCATGTGTAAGTAGCAGTTCTTGTTCAACATAATGTATTTCAGATTCACTCATGTCAGTTAATAGATGTGTAGTTCACTCATATTCCAGGTGTTTGGATTCTTTTGAATTAATATACCACAACTGACTTGTTCATTCCATTATTTATGGGCATTTTTCATGTTTTCAGCATTTCTCCTCTTCTAAATATTTATATTTCAAACACTTTTTGGAAAGTCACCTAGTATACACATGTCAAATATGTAGTAGAACTGCTGCAATGCAGGATTGCCAATGTTATTATTTATTTGGTAATATCTATGCATTCCCAAAAGGATTGTTCCAAAATTTACTCCCGCTAACCAAACACATTGAACTTCAATTTACTCCATATTCTCACCAAGCTTTGAAATGGATGCACTTTAATATTTATGCCAGTTAGCTGTGTGTGAAATGACATCCTATGATGATTTCATTTTGCCTTTCCTGTTTACCAATGACCCTGGATATCTTTTTACATTGGCCATCCATGTTTTCCTCTTCTTTAAAATATGTGTTCAGGGGCGGGCGCTGTGGCACAGTGGGTTAAAGCCTTGGCTGCTCCTCTTCCTATCCAGATCTCTGCTATGGTCTAGGATACCAGTGGAGGTTGGCCCCCAAGTCCTTGGGCCCTTGCACCCACTTGGGAGACCCAGAAGACGCTCCTGGCTCTTGGCTTTGGATCAGTGCAGCTCCAGCCATTGCAGCTATCTGGGGAGTGAACCAGTGGATGGACGACCTCTCTCTCTCTCTCTACCTTTCTCTGTAACTCTGTCTTTCAAATAAATAAAATAAATCTTTAAAAAAAATAAAATAAAAATAAAATATGTATTCAGAGGGCCGGTACTGTGGTGCAGTGGGTTAAAGCCCCAGCCTGCAGTTCCTGCATCCCATATGGGCGTTGGTTCCAGTACCATCTGCTCCTCTTCCAATACAGCTCTCTGTATGGCCTGGGAAAGCAGTAGAAGATGGTCCAAGTCCTTGGGCCCCTGCACCTGCATGGGAGACCTGGATGAAGCTCCTGGCTCCTGGCTCTGCTCCAGAACTCTGTTCTGGCTGCTGCAGTCATTTGGGGAGTGAACCAGCACATGGAAAACCTCTTTCTCTTCTCTGGCTCTACCTAGCTCTGTAACTCTGTTTTTCAAAAAAATAAAATAAATCTTTTATAAAAAAATATGTGTTCACAGAGTTTACCACAAGGTGTATTTCACTCTCATGCAGTTTTTCTATTGAGTTTGTTCTTTTTCTTGTTGATTTTCAGAAGTTTTTCATACATTCAAGATAGCAGTCCTTTGTCAAATATGATTTCCTCTCTAAGTATGTAATTCTCTTTAGTTAAAATAACAGCAGGGGACAAGTTCATCTTTAAACCTTGAGAGTTTGGGGTGATGAAGGAATACACATCAATTCTTGTAGTTAGCTGACGATATGGAATTACCTTGCTAAAGAAGTTAAGAGGCAGATGGACAGATTTCACAAATTAATCAGTGAGAAGAGGAGGCACTGACATGGTTTGGTGGCAGAAAGAAACAAAATGTTTTGGTGTCTGATTCAAACCAAGGGAGTCCAGT